GATACCTTCGGTGTCAAGTTCATGACAAAAAAAAAAAAGAATTTTTTTTTTTCTGAAAAGCACTTACTCCAAATCAGTTATTTTGTGAAAGTTCTAAAAATAAATTTATCTCGTTACTGACAAACGAATCGTCTTCATTCACCAATTAAAAAATTACCAAATATAGCCCTCCTGATATCCTGAAGTCACTGATACCAGATATCTGCTTATGATTTAAATTTTTTACAACCTATTTTCATCTAACTGCCGTCCAGATGATTGGTAAGATTTTAATTCCTCAGAGTCCAATTAAGTTACCATAGGTTACGGGGACCGGTCACACTAATGTTCAACTTTTCTTACAACCACAGAGAACGTATCAATAATATCTTAAAATGCTTCAACCGTACACATTAAGGTTCCTGGAGGATGTATACAAATATATATGCAAACAACATTTGTAGCAGCACTATGCTGCATAGCTCCACCCACAAAAGACGCAACGCGCCGGACTTCTACTCCAGTCTCGGTACCGCCCCTACCCTCCCTCTCCACTGGGCAATGCAAATTTTACTGCGGGATCATCGATCTGTGTTACAATAAACAGCATATAACCTGAGGCGGAAAGTGCAAACAGTTGTGGATTTTTTGTGCATTGTTGATATCTATTGATCTGATAGCGGAGGAGCTGTTACAACCTTGCTTTTAACATGGGACTAAACTGAACAGTGCCAATATTTCTTTGCCTAACAACAGCGGAATCAGCAGTAATATAACAGAGCATCTCCACACTTTGTAGCATCATGTCTCGCGTGGGCGAATCTACCCTCTCGAAGAGTTCACTGAAAAAGGAGAAGAAGGTTAAATTTTTTTTCTTATTTTTTGTGGATCTGTTTATTTTTAGAATTATAGGCGCTGCTAAGAAAAGAACAGATTTTTATTGGTGAATAACTGACTGGCGTACAAGTTAAACTGAACACATTTTATTTTTTAGAGTTTTTTAGACTCTCTTTCTCATAACTTTTGCAATCCAAGCTTTTTCCAAAATTTTTAGTATTTCATCTAGTGTTTAACAGTATGGCTTCTACATTCATTCCTTCATTGTATTTAAAATATATTTTAACTTGTACTCGGTCCATTTA